GATCATATTCCGTTGAATCAAGTGTTTTAAAGTACAGGAAATGTAACATTCAGGTGATAATAAATTGCATCTCTTTATTGTTATGATAATATGTCAACGTTCTAATATACAATCAAGATTAGAAAAAAAAGTTATAAATAAAACCTTTTGTTATGGGCACAATGACAGCTTGTTAATGTTTCGTTCAGAATATAATGTTAACACAGTACATAAGCGATTTTTTCAGGATATTCTGTAAGACCTGAATTTAACATCATGTGAAAGTGGTTGAAACTATTTTATATGATCATAGGTGGAGCAAATATTTAAGTGTACAGTTTTAATATACTGAAAAGTAAAAAGTACACGCATACATTGAGTAACAAATCTCTTATTATATGCGGACTATATACAATTATAATGTGAGCAAATGCATGTTTATTTCAAACTATATCACGAGTGCTACATCTAAACGAAGAAAAGACTACATATCTTTCATCCGTGATGGTAGAACAGAAAAAAATATGTAGTACACTTGTTTTTCCTTAGAGAAAATGTATCTGACCTTTTTTTTTATATGTGTTTGAGTGTGTGTAAAGGCTCTAGTGAGATTCTAAAACTTATTCTGTGCGTAACAAAGTCAAGGTTACTGACTAAATTTCAGGTTAAATGCTGTTTACGAGTCTTCCGTACATTCCTGGCCCAGATCTACAAGTGTGTATCCATTCCCTTAGGTATTACAGGCCACGTGACCTTAGAACCTTTTTTTTCACATTACATTGAAGCTAGGTCCTCGTGCGTATAAATTGCATGTATGAGCTTTCTTGAAAAACTTATTTAAAAAAATATTTAATTATACAGGGCAGTTACATTTATAGATACACTAACCCATCTCCCAGATGATCAGTACTTTAGTGACTTGTTTGATTGTGAGGTTCATTATTATCTTTTCAGATAAACTTTTGTCAGCCTTAATGCACTTTAATTTTGAAACATTAGGCTTTATCATAAAATAGAGAAACACATTTTGCCCATCAAATGAAAAATGTCAAGAAATTGTCTTAATTCATAACATGTTATAGCCTTTCTCAAGTATATACTTGTCCTGAGGGAAACTAGATAATTGAAGTTATCACCACAAACCTGTATACCCCCCCCCCCCCCGAACAACTCGCATTCACTTAAATAAGGGAGTAATATCTTGGACTAAGAAATAATATGTTTATATTTTTTTCAGGCTTCTTGTTTATTATTTATGATATTAATGTCTTTACTTTGAAAATTAGCAGATCTATGGCCAAACTTTTCCACGTTAGTTAATGAGAAAATATTCAGTCTGTCGTCATAATTCAAACGTGTTATACAAAGAATCACACTAGAATATAAAGTGGGATAACGTGTTTTCGTGCGGACTACACAACAACAACAACAAAAAAAAACACCTAGACAAACACTTAATACTTTTCCAAGGCAGACAACAGTTATCATGTTTCCCGCAATAACTAAACTTACGATCTTATGGAACAGCACATCGTTTTGACCTATCACCCTACCCGAGCCCCTGATAAGTTATCTTACAATCTTGTTCCATCTCGCAACGAACAATCTTAATTTCCTAATCGACTTCGTAACAATTAACTTATAATAAAACTAGGAATTTGCATGGCCAGTTTGTTAGGGCGCGCGACTCGCAATCTACGGGTCGCGGGTTCGAATCCCCGTCCCACCAAACATGCTCGTGGGGGTGATATATTGTGACGGTCAATCCCACCATTCGTTGTTAAAAGAGTAACCGAAGAGTTGACGGTGGATGGTGATGACTAGCTGCCTTCCCTCTGGTCTTTCACTGCTAAATTAGGGACGGCATAATTTTAGGTTTTTTCGACAATTACTACGCCGTATTTCGGCCAATTTACATGGGATTTGGTACTTTTTTACAGGTCCCAAACAGAGATGTATACAGTTTTGGAATTTTTATCTTTTGCTCAATTTTTCAGCAAGGAAAGCACAATTTGGGTTTTTCGTGAACTATTCATGTGTATGTCAACCAACTTACATGGGATCTGGTACAAAGATACTTTCTTGCATGTCCCAAGTAGTGACATAGACAGTTTTCGATTTGTTTGGTGTCAGAATTGGTCATGTTGGGATTGCGTGGCAGAGACCGCGAATCTTGGCCTCTTCAATTTACTGTTACAATTTACTGGATATTTGATTCAAAACGGAATAATTTTGTTAAGAAATACAAACCAGTATAAGATGGGTATGTTTTATTGTCTCGCTGCATCATCTTCTGTAACATCGTTAGCAGGAAGAGGATTTACTGAGGAAAAGAACCATGGATCCTTGTCCTTATAACCAGTTTGTGATACAATATCTACATGTATGTAAAGTTTTCTTCGATTAAAAACTTGACAGGATAAATATATATATATATATATATATCAGTCATACATTCACTATTCTGTTTTGGAGCCCAAAATTATTTAATGCTATTTTTTCTAGCTATATGTATACTTAGATATGAATGTTATATAGTGACGTCAGTTTCAAAATACATATTTTGGTTGTACATGTCGTTCAATAAACTTTGACACGATTTTTTACATTATGGCTTTCAATATTTCTGTAATGTCTTTAGCATTGTAGTGATTATTGAAAGGTAATTGGAGAATATTTTACTTTTCAAGAGGGTTGGTTGTATTGATTTTTACTTCGGTACGTGACTGTATCTGAAGCCATTTGTAAAAAAAAAAATATTTCATCTAAGACGCCATCTTATGGATATTGGTGATTAATGTGTGTGTATTTTGATGTATAAATCCATTTCTACGTTGCTTAATCTTTTATCATTTCTTTAACGCGACGTATGCTTTTCAATACGTTCATGAAAGAAGAATAGTTATCCTTCATTTACAGTGAAGTATTTGATAAATATTAATGAAATTTCAGCTGATCTTTTCACAAGTTTTTATAATTTTTTTAAAACACTTCAAGGAACGACTTTTCTCATATTTATTGGGACAGCTCCTTTAATTCTACTTTTAGTAGCTTGATTGTTTTTTAAACTCAAAAATGTAAGGCATTATGTGATTTAAATATATATTAAAGTATGAAAATTTATTCAATAAAGACGTCAAATTTCACGGATTTTGTGCATTTCAAAAACTTATTTCACACACGCGCACACACACACACACACACACGCGCGTTTAAATAGACGTCCGTGTTTTTCATTTCGTATTGTATGATAACGGAAACATTAGATAGCATGAACGATATTCTAAAGGTAGAAGTTCACAAGCAAAAGGCTTCTCTTTAGGTGGTGACGTCACTTAGGCATCGTACATAATACGCCGCAATGTCTTAGGTTATACATAGTCCAGAAAGACGATGCCCCAAACTTTGTCACTTCTGTCTCGTGGTGAGTTTTTTTTTTATATGCAAATATTTTACTGTTTATATGAAGCAAATGTTATTTGTGTTCCTTAAGTTTAATTTTACACGACTTACAACTTTTGATAAAATTTATTTCACCTGTTGAACCTTTCTAAAATATAAAATATAAGTAAGAATGTATATAATTGTATCTGTATTACAAGATTTTCATTAAAATTTTGTTTCTAAATTAATGTGTTTATTTCATAAAAATGGAAATCAAATGGATGAGAAATAATTTTACTCAACAGGAACGCAGAAGCTAATAGATGGGTATAGAACTTAATAGACATAAGCAGTGTCTTTTGTTTTTATTCTCTACAGGCTTATTAAAAAAATAAACATAAAGGTATCCGTTTTAGCAAAAAAATAAATGGCAATGTGACTCGGTATCTCTTGCTTTCTTACTTGATCTATTTGGCCTCTCCTCTAAATGTATGTAGATGTGTCCATAGAAGAACTATTTCTATTATGGGATAGTCCAGTGTGTAATAACATTTTTGTTATACAAAAGATTTCTTTTATTGAATCTAATACTTCTAAACTTGATAGATGCTGACGAACAACTGAAAATACTGTTGATTCTGGATATTATATTATCCTCCTTACCGTTTTACTTTTTCCAAAAATAACGACACTAACGTGTGTTTTTTTTTTTATCGAAACCGCCCTTCCCTGGTGATTCTTTACTGCGTATCAGTACTGTATAATAAGTCACCCTATCTGGACTTTTTGTAGAAATCATAATCGAAGTTCTATCCCTGTACGAAACATATTACATAGAAACTTTCTAGAATTTCCCAATACAGAATCTGTCAATATTCGCAATT